GATCATATTTTCCTTGGTTGGATGAAATTTTAATAAAATGTGTGTCATTGGCAGATTATGAAAAGTTGCAAATTTAAAAACCCGGTGTTTAACATTTTTGGTTATACAAATTCAATTCACTAGTGCCGTTTGAGAAAAACTCTATTTTTTGGTAACTGTTCACTATTTTTGCTTAGTAATATGCGTCCGGAACAATCTACTTAAAACCCCTAAAAACCTGCTTATATTTTCTCTGTTTAAATTGCAATTTAATGTTTTATTGAAATGTGTCATACATAAGAAAATAATGAAAACATTCAAAATGTTTAAACACGATGGTTTGGTATTTTTGCTTATATAAATTGAATGTTCCAGAGCAATGTTGGAGCATTTCAAAAATTGATTTGCAAAAAAATTACGAAAATTACGAAAGCGTCGTCAAACATTCCACGTACTAAATAAGGCAATTTTACTTTTGCAAGTGCTGGGTCCGAAAACGTATCTTTCGGCGTAAATTACAGTAAAAAGATCAATTTTACTGCCTCTGCCTCTTCTAGAAATATTCCATTATTTCCGCTACAAAAATACGTATAAACGGAAAGTATCTGTTATTGGATATTTGCCACCTGAACCTAGCCAGGCTAATCCCCCTTCGATGAAAATTCAGGAAACTGTATAATTCCTGAGGAAATTGACTCGTGCCGAATGTTATTGAGGATCACTTGATACTTACATAGTTCTTGAACATGAGTTTTTGCCATTCTCGTGGCAAATATCAGCAGTGTGAGGCACGTTCACGAGTGGAGTCTAAGGGAAATTCAATATCTCAATAAAAATATTAGATTTTACATTTAAACTGTTTAAATATTTAAGTTATAATACATTATTAATCGGAGATGTTAGAGCTACGGGCAGTAGATTTGCTAATAGTTAGATGCTAATTTTGATTTAAAAAAAATATATTTCAAACCATATTGGCCCCAAAATACATCTTATTGATTTGGACGCGATAAAAAACTTTCCAAACTCTCACAAAAAAAGCAATTTGAAGTGAGTTTCAAGATGGCAAAAAGTTAAGTTAAAAAACACTATAATTTCCGCATATGAAAAAATATTTGGATGAGTATCTGCAAATATGAAGAAGTGTATTTCGCCTTCAGGTGATCTAATTCAATGCTAAAACAAAAATTATGAAAAGGTACCAAATCCAAATCCAAATAATCCTTTTGCCGAAAATATAATTTGAGAGATAATTAATGAGTACATTTCAACAAAGTTCACTACAAAAGCGTCTTCAAACATACCACATACTACTGAAGCCTTCTGGAAAGCCAGAGTTGCAAAAATCAATTTGTAGTGAGATTAATGATGCAGAACAGCTAAATTTTAATAGACCCCGTGTAAATGAGACAATCAGCGCTTAGTGAAACAATATTTCCCGGAAAAACTGCGATCACAAAATGCGCAAAAAATTACGAATGAATAGAGTTGATGGGGGAAATCGCGTTTTAATGAAGTACGCAAGTCAAATATATTTAAACAATTCAATGTATTTGCTCGATAAAATAATCTGAACCCTCGTTTCGCTCGATTATAATTTAATGCTTTTTAAAGCTTTTGCGCTGTTAATAATTCGCGTTTAATTAAAAATAACTTTAAATAATCATAGCTTTAGAGCTGTTATACAGAACGTTTGGTTCGCTTGTGGAATTATTGTGTTTATTTGTGTTATTAATTCTTCTTCTTCTTAGCGTGCGTTATCCGTCGCGGACGTTGGCTATCATGAAACTTTACTATACAACAACGTTAACTATACATGAAAATTTTAATTTTATTGACGGCATTTCTAAATAGCTGTATAAATGTAAGTCCAAACCACTGGCGTAGATTTTGCAGCCATGAGTGTCTTCTCCTTCCTGGTCCTCTTTTACTGTTGATATTTTTTTATGTCTCATTATGTGTCCGAGGTATTCCAGTTTCCTCTTTTTAACTGTGTGTGTAATTTCTCTCTCTTTCCCAATTCGCTGTAGCACCTCTTTATTAGTTATGTGGTCAGTCCACGAGATTCTGAGGATACGGCGGTATATCCACATTTCAAAGGCGTTTAATTTTTTCATTATGGC